CGCAGACTAACTCGCAGTTGCGCCGCTAGCCTTTTTATATGCAATTATTACTGCCATCTCGAGGTGATCGGAATACACTAGCTAGAACCAGAACTTTCTCGAACCAACGCGGTAATTCCAAATATTTAATTACGCCTAATGCCACCTAGCAGGTAGCTGAAAAAGATAGTACATAGTAGCACTACTCGCCACTAGATGTCGTTAAGTGCCACAATACACAATAATAATTGAAATGCAAAGAAAGCGTAAGTTTGCCTAGGTCACGCACTTTGCGTGCGTGCGAAATATAGTTAAGGGCAGAAATTGGCCCTTGGAACAAACTGAAAAAATCATTATGGCCCGAAGGCTTCAAAGTTTAGAGGCCCCTGGTCTATATGATCCAAATCATAATGTAGTCAAATTTTATTTTCGATTTTATTTACTTCATTTAACTTCATTTGAAAAAAATGTGTTCTCGATTTACACGGGCAAGCCCAACTCAGATATAAGTAGTTCAGCGCTAACTAGTAATTGATGCAATACAGTGGGTTAAAAGTAAATTATAAGAATAATACAATTTCGAAGCATGATAGCAAGTAGATTATTTAAGAAAAATTAAAATGTGATACAATATGAACTAATATAATTCTTACAGGCAAGTAACACTAGACACAAAGCAACAGAACTAGCAAATAGTATTAGATGGCTAGGTGAAGAATATGGTTTTTAAAGCAGAAAACTGATAAACTAAAGATTTGAAGGTCATTTAAAGAGTTAGCCAGTCGAAGAGTTCTGGAAATGAAACTGTTATATGAATAATTGAATCTGCTAAAAGAAATGTAAAACGTTTGTACCTGTCTAGTTGAACGACTGGGGACAACTAAAGATATTTTGGAGAGAAGCTTGGGGCTGATACTTAGTCCGTTGATAATTTTGAATAGAAGTATTATTGAATCTCTATGTTTTCTGCAAGCTTTAACAGGAAGTATGTTCAAAATGCATTCCAATGCAGTATAGTCATAGTATACACGCATCTTGAAGGCAATATATCGCAGGAAATTGTGCTGTACGGCCTCGAGTTTCACTTTTTGTGTAACGTAATGAGGGGACCAAACTGTGGAACAATAATCGAGATGAGATCTAACTAGGGAAAAATAAAGATATCTAGTAGCAGTGATGTTGGTAAAATCACGAGTGGTTCTCTTTATAAAGCCAGACATCTTCATAGATTTTTGAATTACAGCGGAAATGTGTGATTTATAGCTAAGTGTGGAGTCTAGGATCACACCTAGATCTTTGGTTTCAATAGCATAATGTAAGGTCCGAACATTTATACTATATTCGAAAGTGATTGGGTGATGTGTTCGATGAAAGCTGGTATTTAGATGCCAGTTTTATTGTTGAAGAGTCGTTAATTTAGCTCATCGACATTACAATTGATTGTTCAAAAATTGTTTCTGATCGCTCATAATCTTTTCATTAACAAAAATATATATGCACTTTTTTATCGAGTATATTGTTCTTCGTAACGCATAAAGTACATACCATGTCCTGAAAAACATGCAACATCGTATTGAAACAACCATTTTCGAGTTGATTTTCAAAGATCCAAGCAACAGCTTTGTCAATTATTCGCTGATTGACGTATATGTACTCTTTGGCCTCTTGAAGGATTTTAACAACAAAGGTCGTCAGAAACATGGAACCCATAGGATCGTGGTAACCGAAGGCAGAAAATGATCCATCTTTGTGAACGTAATTGAGTATTCTTTGATATCCTAGAAAGAAGAAAGTAGATCATTCGAAATGTAGGTATTAGAGATGAAACAGATACTAGTCACTATTTGGAATTCGGTCTATCAAGCCGGAAGCAGAATGAAGGCAGATATTCGGCAGATTCCGTACTCAAATATTATTAAATATTTCAAATTTATATTATTTGAACATATGGATTTCAGCAGAAATGAAACCACTAAATATCCATTTGAAAACTGTGTAACATTTATGAGTATCTAAGAAAGAAAATCAGTACTCAGACCATATTGTGGAGTCCAGCTTTTTGCCTTGGACGGATATCTGATATCCGGCTTCTAAGTTGGCCGGATTTTTGATATCCGGACAAACTAGAAGCTATCTGCTTCATCTTCAGAATCTTTATGAAAATTGACCATCAAGTTATCCCTGTTTCTGAAATATTTACCTATCTTCAAATTCCGTAAAATCCTCTGCCTCACAGATTTCTTCAACTTGTTGGTTGCATTGAGGTACCGCAAAACGTACAAATTTGGAGCCACAGATGCCATTATTTGCTCACCACATCCCATAGGAACATCTAGTAGGTCTTCTAAATTCTAAAGAAATAATAGTGAGTTAGACAATAAACTAATAAAGTGAGCGTTGGTTTTTTTCCACTTTGGCTTTGATCAGAAGTAAAATCAGCGAGGGGATTCATTAAATAAAGAGAGTTCAAAATGATAATGAAAAAAATCCGCGTTACAATGATGAAGTTAGATGATATAAAGCATACTGAAGGTCATTTCCTAACTTGGTGAAAAGCGCATTGGGAAGAGTCTTACAGTTTTGGTGTGCAGAAGTTCTGTTACGTAAGAGTTACTCTAAGTCAGAGAAAACAATTTCAGTTTTGATAGACCAAACAGCGTGTCAATAATGGGATTGATAGAAAACTTACGAAAGAGATCAACCCGCAGTGCAATCTTTGATTTTACTTTGCAAAGAAAACACTTAACACTGGGTATGCTATATCCGTTCATGGTGATTTGACAAAACAGACTGGATGTATGACAACTCATTTAAAAGATGTAGCTTCAACAAGATGGTCGTCATCAATTGTCAAAGTTCGTAAGTTTCTATTGGATGACCCGTTATGAATCTGAGAATGCTGCAGTAGAAGTAGGGATATCCCAAAGAAGCATTGCGGGTCCTTTGCTATTTAATATCTACATGAACGATTGATTTCGTCATTCAAACACAGATGAATTCATTATAGTTTTTGCTGATGATACTGATTCATTAATAGTCAGCGTAACCAGAAGTGGTGAAGACAGTTGTGGAAATTTTCAACGATACAAAAGATTGGTTTACTAGGAACATGTTGTTTCAAATAAATCTATAATTATTCCCATACGTTTTGGAAGTAATCAATTTTAGAAAGACCGTCATCAAAATTTGATTGCTGGAAACATCAATATAAAATATTCAGAGTTTCTAGGACTGTATATAAAGCCTTCGAAGTTTTAGATAATAAAACTCAATTAGACGTTGCTTTCACTGATTTTCGTAAAGCTTTTGATCAGGTTCATCATGATATTCTGATAGAAAAGCTTAGTTAATATGGAATTTCAAGAAACTTTTTAGAACTAACGAAAAATTATCTTCAAAATCGGTTTTTCATTGTCAAACATAATGGAAAAATTTCGGATAAATTTCCAGCTAGGTCAGGTGTACCACAAGGATCAAATCTAGGTTTGCTTCTATTATTTGGTTTGCGGAGTACCAAACCTATATGAAAGACGGAGAGAAAATTCAGAACAAATTCTTGAGGTATCTATTTTTTAAGCGATATCACAGGTGGCCAAACTATAACTCAACAAGGTCTTTGGACCTACGACATGAATTTGAAATATTATCTTTAGAACAGCGACGCCAATTATTAGCAACGATATTCATGCATAAACTCTTGAATAACAACATTGATTCTCCAGAAATTCTCAGTATGTTACCATTTCACGTACCTCCTCGTCGCACCCGATTTTCGCTCATGTTTAATATTCCAACCGTAAGTACCGCAACAAAAGCACCACTAATATCCATACTAAAGTTAGTTAATAGTTTGAATATATCAATAGATCTTGATTGGACACTTTCCCAATCAGCATTCCGCAAAAAAATTTGGAAAATATGTTAAATTTACCTATTTAGGCAGTATTTTCCTCTACAATTCTGGTACATAATTTATTATTTCATTATTTTTATATATTCATAAGTATTTCGAAGATTATATGAATTTTAATTTTTTTATCCATGTAATTAGGCTGTAATAGCTTGTGTGGATAATAAATTCATAAATAAATAAATATTGCTGAATTTTTGTTCATGTGAGAGTGCTAACATATTATCATATATCACCATTTACGCCGGTAATAAACAGAAAGTATACGGAAGATTCAGACCTAAAAAAGACCTAAAAAAGGATGAAGAATCAATGAGAAGTGAAGGATTGTAAAAAACAAGATGTCTATAGTTCCCGAATGGAGTTCTCATTATGTAATCACGTAGTGAAAAATAATAGTGGCGAAAGGAAGCTGGGGCCATTAATCCATTGGAAGAAAAAGTTGTTAAGAAGTTGTTTGCTTGGAATCAAACATGATGGAGTGTCGCTGGGAAGAAACTCGATTTTTTAATCTCATATTCGTAAAATCTAAAAATACTAGCACTTTTAAATGTGTCTGATTCGTTAACTCAAGTAAGGTCTACTCATGGTTGATTTTTACGTAGAACTGAAGGATGGTGAAAGGTCTGTGGAAATACTGAATTATCTGCGGCCGTTTATTCTAGATATGAGCTGGAAATGAATCTCAATCCGAATGATCTGATGAAAAACTAAGCAAAAAGTATTTTCAGCATAATGCAATAACCGTTGATGGAATAGTTGTTCAAAAAAGAGTACTAATGGTTTCAGAGCTGAGTACTGTGTTGGAGACATGGCTTTTTATGAAAGGAATCAACAGTGTATCTTAAAACACTGCTTTGATTTAGTAGAGTTACCACTAACCTCGATAGTTTTTCCCAGTAAATCGCCATTCAAACTTATGTGAGATTTGAATGTTTCTGAAATTATGTTTGCAGGAACTGTAATATACCAAGAAACATTGGTGGGAGGCGATGAATCTGAAAATAAAGTCATTGGTTTAAAATGGCACAAATTTTGGCTCGATGAATGTAAATGATTGTCATAAATATCTATTGAGATATAGAGATATGAAGGCCAAATTTTGTTAAACAACCCAATATGGGTCATTATTTGTTTTAAATTATAAAGAATCTATTGGGGCAGTATTCTGTGATTTCTCAAAAGCATTCGACTGCGTGAACCATGAAACACTATTATTTAAACTTCAGTGCTATGACTTTAGAGAATTGTCATATAACTGGCTTTACAGTTATCTAACAGGCAGGAAGCAGTTATCTAACAGTTATCTAACATCGCATATTGACAATAATTCATCAGGTGTACCACAAGGTTCGGTTCTGGCTCCTATCCTTTTTCTGCTTTATCTGAATGATCTGGTAACCATTGACATCAAAGGAAAGTTCACAATTTTTGCGGATGACACCACGATCCTTTGGCGTGACACAAATGAAGATAATCTCAGAGATATCATAACTCTGGATCTCTAAACAAACATAGTTTGCTTCAAACTCAATTTCGACGACTAACTTATAGAAAATCACGCTATAGTTAACAATCACAAAACATTTTTAGGGGTGTTTATAGATGATAAATTAAAATTTGATGAGCATATAATGAATTTATGCAAAAAATAGCTCCTGGCTGCTATGCGGTTCGAATTATTTCTAACGAAGTATATCACTTCTATTATCTGCGAGCGCTGCGAAGAGGAGTGTTCAAAAACTAAGTAGCCCTAGCTAATATGATGCTAATATGATATTTCAAACAAGCTTTGTCAATAAGATATGAATCTTCAGACAATAAAGCATATTTTGACTTTGAGTTTGACTTTGACTATCTTCATCATTTTGATTTTTTTATTTTTTGGGTTTGAGGAAAGTAGTAAGTCTCCGGTAAGCCCTAGCCAGATGGTTCTATGTAAGACATCTTGGGATAGGTGACTATTTCAAATTTTCATTCAAAATTATTCCTTCATACAAAATATTCAGTAAATTGATTGTATCTTTGATTATGAACCGCAAAGCCATCTATTATTTCATAATGCTTTATGAATCATTTATCTAACATGTATCATCATAACTTTCTGAAATATTCAAAATTCTGGGTGAATTATTTATGTAGTGAAGAGTTTTTTACCTTCTGAACATAGCAACGCCGACTTTGTTTCTTTCATTGGATATCCCTCAGGCTCTACTAGAATTTTCTTAAGTACACTGTCTCTGAAAAATAGAAACAACAAATATTCAGAGCATACGAATCAGGCTAGAACTATCTCAAATAATAATCTCATTTCTCACATTAGAGACAGGGAACAAAATTTCATCACTATGTTTATTTAGGACTACAGTGGTTCCAGAAGTACCCGACCTGACCTAGAGATGGCGATAGTTGTTTAAAATATCATTGTATCGAAAAGTACACCATCTACGAAGTACATGTCACAAGTTTGAAGACGCTGCGTTATTTTTGGGGCTACCTTTCCTGATAGATGCGTCTGGCTTTGCTTGAATTTCCGTCAGCCAAGCCGTATGCAAAAACCATATCAGCCATTTCAGCATTCGTAAAGTCGGGCATGGTATCAAAAATTACTTAATAAACTCCGAACTGTGAATTTGTCAATTAATAGTTGAAAATGTGACAGCGAACTTCTATTCTTATAAACAAACTTTCATAGCCTACTCGCTTTAATTAACTTAATTTGCAAGCGGAGAGTTACAGAAATTATTGAAATCAAATTTGGCTTTAAAGCAATATGCTTCGATATAGGAAATTGTTAATATCTCGAAAACGATCCCCGCCAGCGTTGTTGAGGAGGTTTACCTTTTTTTACTTGGAAAAGGTGTGGAAATTAGGTTTTTCATGAAAAGTACCAAAGGTTTACTGTCAAAAAAGTTAGGGCAATTTGAAATAAATAATGACAGCATACACAGCGCCCTCTAGATGTTACATGAAAATTAATACGAAATTATGATTTCCCTCGTCAAAAAAACCCCAGGCACCGAATTTCGTGGAAATAACTTATTTTTTGCAAGAGTTATTTTCAAAAAGCGAACAAAAAAATTCAATTTCAACACCCCGTATCTCTGAAACGAAGCATTTACGGACACAAGTTCATATAGACTTTTTTTCTTAAAATTGTCTCAGGAATACGCCACTTTTATATATTGTAACGTACTTATGTTACACCCTGTATATTGTAAATGGATTCATCTGTTGGGCAATGCATTTTTTATTTTCTTTTTCTTTCTTTTCTTTTCTATGCGAGGCCGCACGAGTTGCAGTGGTCAACTCAGTGGTCAAAGATTTTCCAACGATTAAGTAGAGATGTCGTTAGTTGATGGCTATTTTGAGGAGAAAGATAGTTCTTATTATTAAAACGGTTATTGAACTGAAAGAAGAATATGCTGAAAAATGAATACATTTTTCCCAAAATTTCTGAGTTTTTCTGTTGGGCCGGGTACTTCTTGGACCATCTATGATAACTCACTTCTTCGAGAGAATAGTTTCTGGTCCACAGTCATATGGAAATTGATGGTCTGTTTTGGCAGTGACACTAACATTGACGGTACCTAATTCAGTTGCTTTTAGTGGAAATTTATGACTGATTGTATAATTTTCCGATAAGCAGAAAGACACAGACGGTTTTTCGCCTTCATCGCGAAGCTCCAAACCTGTGGACATTTGCAGAGTGATCCTGATCTATCAACAAAAAAAAAGGTTTCTTAAATACCATTCGATCTCCTGAAAATACATAACTTTGAATATTCTAACTTGCAATCTTTCAGTAATCACTATAGTTATTCTTATTAGCTAATTACACACGCCAACAAAAAATGTTTCAAACTTTGTTTACTTTAATAGCTGATTTTCATAGATTTTTGTGTGCTGAATCCAAATCTGGCTATAGTTTTTTGTATAGTTTTTGAGAAACTGACTTTTTTTATATAATTCGAAATCTGTATGGTATATGGTAAAATTAATGAAACACTATGTTAAATCACTATCATGGTATTTATTTACAGTAGGTTACTTGAAATAATGATACAGTATTGTAATGTAGGTTTCACTAGTCAGATGGAATTGGTTCATACTTCCTTTCTCTGTTTTCTTTGAAGTTTCTTGTGTAGCTTTTCCTGCGATGAGTCGCTTGTTGAGCTTCACGATGAAGTGACCAACAGTAGTCTCCCATCATGTTGATGTTGCAGAGGCTCTGGAAACGTTTTTCCATCAATTTAATATGTTGGTGAAAACGCTCACCCTGTTCCTCACAAACATCTCCCAAATTTTTCGGGAAGTAATCAAGATGACTGTTCAAGAAGTGGACTTTCAGGCTCATCAAACATCCTAGTTTCTTAAAATTCTTTAACATGTTAGCTAGAATGATACGATATTCTGGTCTTCTGCATTTCCTAAGAATTTTGTAACAAATTGCTTGAATGATACCCATGCTTCTTTCTTATGAATGGTCATGGTCATGGTTACAAAGGTTACGTCGAACATCATTTATCGAATGTCGGGTCCTACAAGGACACCTTCTTTAAGTTTAACCTCTGAAAGGTTTGGAAATGTCTGACAGAAATACTTGAAACAAGGTCCATCTTTAGGCAATGCCTTCACAAACTGTTTCATGAGGCCTAACTTTATATGTAGAGATGATAAGAGGATGTTTCTAAGATCTACAAGGTTTTTGCGGAGAATTTTCTTCTCGCCGGGTTTTGAAGACTTCCTCACAGGCCAGTTTCTTCTGCACCAATGTTGATCCCTTGTTCTAGTGTCCCATTTACACAAAAAAACATGGACATTTGGTGAAACCGCCTTGCTGACCAAGAAGCATGCATGTTATTTTCAAGTCACCACATATCATCCAACCATGGGTCGAATAGCAAATTTTATTCAACACTATTTCTAGGTTTCCATAGGTCTTTTTCATATGTACAGAATGGCCAACAGGTATAGATGCATAAGCGTTACTGTTGTATTGTTTAAACATTTTCGAAAACTGTTGCTCTCTCATCCTATACACATACCGGGTGTCAACGAATCTATTAGACAAGTCATAACTTCTAGACTATTAGGTGTATCAAAACGAGATTTGGTACAGATAAATGGTATGTGGAGAGGAGAGTTTTCACATATTTTTCACTTTCCGGTCACTTCCGGTTTCAGCGGAAATGGCTCCGGTTCTGAATTTTTAAATGGAACACCCTGTATATTGTAACATTTTTGGATTTCTGAGACAATTCTGGATCAGAAACTGACATTTCCGGAAGTTTTTCAGCCTACTTGATTTTTTCAGAGTCACTTTTAAAATTGCATCTAGGTGGCCATGATCGGACGTAAACTAATCTATGGACCTCAGGTGATATCAGA